AGCTCAACTATCTGTTTACTCTTAATGGGTCATAGGGGATCTAAATGCCTTAGCACTTTCCAAGACAAGTTAGAAGAAAAAGGTGGAACCTTATTGGAGCTTTTGTGAGGTGGCTTTGAAGGGACTTTAATTGCAAGGCTCCAAATCTCTATTAAAATGATCAAATTCAGATCTGAAAAATTCAGAGAGAAGAAGGACGAACTGCAACAGTTCTGGGTTTGAAAGTGTTTTGGTTTTCCTTCTTCTTTTCTTCTTGTAAGCTTTTGGGTATATTGTCTTACAAGGGTTTTGTATTCTTCTTGGATTGGGTTAATCCTTGAAGGGGTTGAGTGAGTTGAGATTCACTTGTGATGGTTTAATCTTGCACCCGTAAGCAAGAGGTTGTTCCGGTTTAATCTTGCACCCGTAAGCAAGAGATTTCTAGTGGATTGAACTCTCGAGCAAGGAGGCTTGGGGAGTGGACGTACTCCGGGTTGGAGGAACCACTATAAATCACAGCTTGATTTTCTCTTCCCTTTCTTTTTATTTTTCTGCACTATATTACTCTTGTTTATTCTGCACAATAACTTATAAATTGCTAGCTGGGATTTCATACACATTATTATTCGCCCTCAATTTGAGTGGGCATACAAAGCACGTTCAAATTGGCCCTTTGAGTATGAAACAAAGGCATAGAAAGAGCCTTAGTCAAGATATCTACACACTAAAAATAGGAAGAAACATGTTGAACAGATAAAATCCTAGAAGCAATCTTCTCTCGCACAAAATGAATATCAATCTCAATATGCTTAATTCTCTAATGCTAAATAGGATTAATAAACAAATATATAGCACTAAGATTGTCATAAAAGAGCACCAGGGCTATAGGAAGAAAAGTATAAAGCTCAAAGAGTAACTAGCGAACCCATAATACCTCAACAACAGCATTTGCAAGAGCACAATACTCAGCGTCTGCACTAGATGGAGCAACAGTGTGTTGTTTCTTGGATGACCAAGAAATAAGAGAATTACCCAAAAATAAGCAATAACCAGAAATAGACTGACGAGTGTCAACACAACCTGCCTAATCCGCATCTATAAACATATGCAAAGAAAGTGAAGAATAATGATAGAGTTGTAAACCATAGTCCATGGTGCCTTTCAAGTAACGTAAGATCTGTTTCACATCCTAAAAATGAGAAGTAGTAGGCTTATGCATAAACTGACAAACTTGACTCACTACAAAAGCAATATCAGGTCGAGTAAAGGTGAGATACTGAAGAGCACCATTAAATTGAGCATTAATGCCAAGAAACTAATTTAGAGAGCCCAAATCAGACATCTGAAATGCAAACTTTAACAAAGAAATAATTTTACCCAATAAAAGCGTAGACGAAGTAATGAGAATAATGTCATCCACATAAAGAAAAAGATAAGCCATCAAAGTAGATTTACGGAACACAAAATAGAGACCAATCTGATTTAGCCTGAACAAAGCCGTAAAAGAGAAGAAAAGAAGTAAACTTGTGAAACCATGCATGCAAAGCTTACTTCAAGCCATAAAGTGCTTTTTGTAACTTATATACATAATCCAGATGAGTTGAATCAACAAAACCAGGAGGTTGAGACTTGTAAAAAGTTTTAGACAAAGTATCATTAAGAAAAGCATTCTTGACATTGAGCTAATGAATAGGCCAAAAATGCATAAGTGCAAGAGAAAGCATAGTCAAATAGTAACCAGCTTGACAACTGGACTAAAAGTTTCATCATAATCAATACCTGACTATTGCATCTAACCTTGAGCAACAAGACGTGCCTTTAATCTTTCAACATTGCCATCCACTCTCTGTTAAATGCGATAAACCCATTTCAACCCAACAATATTAGCATTAGAGGGACATAGAACTAGACTCCAAGTGTTATTTCGAAGAAGAGCTAAAAATTCTTTTACCATTGCAGTACACCAGTTGGATATTTACTGGCTTCTTTAAAATTTTTAGGTTCTCTCAAAGCACAATCAATAGCAAGCAAAGAAGGTAACACATGGACCATACGAGTGCCATCTTGGGACCGTGTAACCATGGAATGAGTTCTAGCTCCATGATTCACAACATGATTGGAGGATGAAGGGACTATGGCAGAAATAGAGGAACTAACAACAGGAACTTCAAAAGCTTTAATAAGAGACTAGGTAGCAATAAGGTCACCTACATGACTAGAAAGATCATGAGTAGCGGGTGATGAAGAGGCAACAACCGGACTGCTTGACACAGTAGGTGGAGAAGTAGCTGGCATAAGTGGTGAATATGCAAGGAACATGAATGTACAGGATGAAGTAGACATGGGAATAGTGGAGGAATTAGGTGAGGAATTAGGAACAATTGGAAATGGTATGGTGGAAGGACTAGTAAGTGGGACAGGTGGAGACTTAGCATGTGGTTGTATTGGAGGTGAGAGTACAGCATCTAAAAGGTGAAATGGGTTACGAAAAGTAGATGGAGGAGTAAGATTAGGATGGATAATATTATGGGAGTTATAAGCAAATAAATCCTTAACAAACACAACTTGTTGTGAGAGTATGATATTATTAGTAGTTAAATCAAGACAGCAATAGCCCTTGTGATGTGTGGGATACCCAAGAAAAAGACATAAAGAGGATTGGGGAGCAAGTTTGTGAGAGGTTGTGGTTGAAAGATTAGGATAGCATGCACATCCAAATGTCCACAAATAATCATATTTGGGCACAACACCGAAGAGCACTTCATGTGGTGTGGCAAATTGTAACCTAGTCAAAGGTAAAATATTTAAAAGATGAACAGCCATATAAAGGGCTTCCTCCCAAAATGTACCAAGTTTGCTTGAAAAAGTAATGAGTGAACCATAGTCATAATTGTTCGATTCATTCTCTCGGCTTTCCCATTTTGTTGGGGAGTTGAGGGACATGAAGAGCGAAGATGAATTCCATTTGATTGAAAATATTGAGCAAAATCTAAATTATCATATTCACGACCATTATCACATTGTAAAGCCTTAATCTGAGCACCAAATTGTGTTGAAACATAGGCTGAAAATTTAAGAAAAGATTGAAACACTTGAGACTTAGAATGCAAAGGATAGATCCATAAATAATGACTAAAATCATCCAAGAACAATAAATAATATTTGATACCACTAAATGAAACAGTCGGAGAGGTCCAAACATTGGAATGAACTAATTCAAAAGCTACCAATTTAATAGAATTATACTCAAAAAAAAAAAAAAAAAAAAAAAAAAAACAAACATGCTTCCTTAATTAACACACATGAAACAAATAAGAAGAGATGCCCTTATTTTGGGAAGAAAGAAGACCACGCCTAAAAAGTTGATGAAGAGAAGTAAAACCCGGGTGACCAAGACGATGATGCCACACATCAGTAGATGCAACAATAGAATTAACTTTAGGAAAACCTAAGGAAAAGCAACTAGATAGGGAATAAAGGCTATCTAAACTATTGCAACGAAGGAGGACGTTCTTTGTGTTGATGTCCTTTATAGAAAAACTAGAAGAATCAAAATCAATACTACAATTATTATCACAAGTAAATTGATGAACAGACACAAGATTTTTAGTAATATAAGGTGAAACTAAAACGTTATTTAAACAAAATTGACAACCAGGACAAGAAAGAATAGTATTACTTGACATAGTGACAGGCAACAATTGGCCACTACCAACTTGAACAAAATCAGAATTTAAATGAGATGACTTTTGGAGTAAAGAACTGGAACTATTGGTGACATGAGTAGACACACCTGAGTCTATATACTAGTTCAGATCAGGTGAAGAAGCAACCAATGTTGGTTGGGTAGAGGGAGATGCTGTTATGGGCTGAATGGTGTGCAATGGACAATCATGGGCTTAATGGTTGAGCTGTTGACACCACTGATAGGAAATAGGGGTGTGTTGGCTACCACTAGCTAGTATAGATGGTGTAGGAAGAAGAGGAGGCAAAGCCCAAGAAGGCACAACATTGTGGCTACTAGAAAAATAACCACCATAAAAATCAAAACCATGCCCAGAACCTACAGGGATACCGTGTTGGCGAGGACCTCCATAAGAACGACCACGATTACCCTAGAAATGGCCACAACTTCCTCTATGACCAAACCATCATCCTACTTGATTTAAATTAGTCACATAATAAAGCTGTTGATGATTACCAGAGAAAGTGTCCCAAGATGCAAGAGACAAAATAGGTGGTGTTGGCAGGTTGGTAGTAGTAGTTTGATCATGAGAGAGGTGAAGCAATTGTGGGTTACTAGAAGAAATCACAGGCTGAGTGTCTCAATTTGCTACTTCATGGAGGAGAGTGGCTTTTTCAAGCAATAAATGAGAGAGAGTGCAGTTTTAGGAAGTTGGGAAAGGGGTTTCATTAAGGTATGGTTCTTTTAGCAACACTATATTATGAATCAAGACTAACAAGCACTTGAAACACCAAATCATGATATGGTTTTGGATTCCAACACCATGCAACTTATCAACCAATCTTTTCACAAACTATAGATAGCTAAGTATACATTGTCTAGGTTGCTTACATATAAAAGAGTACTCTTATTGAAGAAACAAAGTCTGAGCAGCCAATTGATTCTGGTAAGCAACATGAATTGCAGCCCATGCTTCTTTGGTTGAAAGAGATCTCCTTGGTTGTATGATCATCTATAACACTTTAGTAAAAATCATTGCTTGGATCCAGGACAAAACTTGATAATTGATTTGCATCTAGGCTTCAAAGTTGGGACTTTCAAATGGAGGACATGGATTTGTGCCATCAATACGATCATAGACAACTTTGCTCTTCAAAATTGGAACCATTAACTCATGCTAAATAATAAAATTATTGTGATTTAAAGTCTTAGAAACAAAGTTCTTAATATTCAATACTGTGAATACAAGATGTGAGAAATTATTAGAGGTTATTGGATTTGTTGCAGTTGATGAAACAGGTAAGATGGGAAGGATAGGAGATGCTGAACCTACCATATTAGAGATTGAAGGCCATTGGAGACCACTAGAGATAGGAATTGGATTGAGTAGAGAGGTGATTGAGGAAGTAGATATAGGGGGGCAAGCGACACAGACACAAAAGGAGGAGAGGAAATAGATTCAGTCGACATTGGGAAGACACAAGACAAATGACGCAGGAAACAAGAGGAAAAGAAAACCCTGGAAGATGCTTGGTGCCAGACCTAGCTCTGATACCATGTAGAAGATAATGCCTCTAGGGTTTTTCATTATTGTAAAAGAGTATATATATACATGTGGTATACCATAGAATACCTTAACTACCCTTTGTACAAGTATGCAAGTATATAGACTATAATACATATACAATGTCAGGGCAAATTAATGCCAATTCTTAGAGTCTCTTTGTATCTTTAATTCTATTTTTTTGTTATGTTAAGCTTACACTTACTGAACAATTAATTGATTTGATATTATGTTTGGTTTTTCCTTCAGCAAAAGGACTTTGTTCTGTCGGTAGGAGCACTTTTTTTTTTTTTTTTCCTTTTGGCCATTGGAGGAAGTATTGTGATTGTTGCATGTTTATTGGGTCTTTGTTCACGGTCCTATGTTTTTTAGTGAATTGAATTTTGGTAGGAGCGTATTATTGCATTCTTTTTTTAATTTTTTTTTTTCTTTTGATTCTTTTGTCCACACTTGATGGGTCCCATGTCCTTTGCTGAATTGAATGTCTTCTTCATCTGCAGGCTTTTGAAGATGCTAAAAAGCTGGTTAATGAAGAAAAGTCTTTTTGCAGTGGAAATTGAGAGTGCAAGGGCCGTAGTGCAACGATTTGGAGAGGCACTTGACGAACGAGAGAGAAATACAGAAAATTCTAAGGCACGGTTTTCATTTAGTGTCAAAGTTGCTTGTTGTTAAAAAGGCTACTTTTAACTTTATTCAGTTTTGCAGTGGAAAAAATATTAAAGCTGCCAAATTAGCCACTTTAACTTGATCGGCCAAAAAACAAAGCTACTTTTAACTTTATTCAATTTTGCAGTGGACAAGTTATTGATAATAGCAGTGGAAAAGAAATTGAACCTGCCAAATTACCTACTTCAACTTTATTCAATTTTGCAGTTCTGTCAATGTAGGTAAAGCTTCTATCTTTCCAGCTGGACTTTGGGGGCTAAGGGAGGCACTTCGGCTTTGTCGTTAAATGGGCATTAAACGAATGGTTGCCGAGATGAACTCCCTGGTGGCTGTTCGCTTCGTCAATGAGGATCGTGAACCTGATAATCTCTCAGTGGCCCTAATCTTGGATATTAAAAAGTTGATTTCAGAATTTGAGGTTTGCTGTTTATATCACACCCTATGTGAAAGTAATGTTGCTTCTGATTTCCTAGCTTCACTTAGGCACTCTTCCCCGCCTGGCTTTGGTTTGATGGAGTCGCCACCGCATGGCTTTGGGCCAATCCTCTTAGGGGACTCGCTGGGGATCAGCTTCCCCTGCCTGTAATTTTATTTCTCTAATTTGGCTACTGCTGTAAATAAATATTAAAAAAAAAATTGCAGTGGAAAAGTTATTAATAATAATAAAAAAATGTTATAGGTAAAATCAGGTACGGCAGGATTATTGGGATTTGGGACAGGGCGCCATGACACCCTAATATTTTTGAAACAAATTAATTAATATTCAATGGAACCAGGCCTTATGGTCCAATGGTTCATCTTAAGTCTTAGTGTTTGGGTAAGATGGTGGTCAGAGTTTCGAGTTCCACTATCGTCGTGAACTCTACCAGACTGCGGTCTGATGGTTGCGCGCCTCATTTGAGAAGGTAGAATATTCACCCGATTTAAGGACCAACCGTTAATAATTAACTCACTAACCTCTTAACTATTACCCTTGTAAAAAAAAAATTAATTAATATACAATGATACATTTTATTTTTAATAATTTTTATATTTATTTTATTATAGAAAACAATTATATTTTTTATAGTATTAGATTTGGTTGTATTTAAATTGTGATTTAATATTTAATAGCAGCATAATTGAAAATTTTTAAATTTTCTTGTATCATGGAATAATGACTTACAAAAGAGTATAACATCTCTTTGTTAAGGACACTAAGTGTTTGATTAATTTCTTAGTGGGATACATTTTTTCTTTCTCTTATTCACTTTATTTTATCTATTATATTTTGAGTATTTTTTGAGGCATTTAATTAGTTTTATCTCTTTAATTGCTAGTAAGCTTACATATAGCAAATGTGAGTTCTAAAAAACTCATCATATTTATCATTTTTAAGTATATAATTACATATAAAAAATAGATTTAAAATATGATGAATTAAATTTAAGGGATAAAAATAAAATTAAAGAGAAAAATATTTTTCCATCTTAAAATTAAAAAATAATATCAATTTGGGACAACTTTTTAGTATTTATTTTATCCTATGGTTTATAGTTATACAGTTGGCTGTTTTACAATTTTGAATATTTCAAATTGTAAAATAAAAATCTTTAGATAGAAAAAAAACTCTCAATATTAGAGGGTCCCCATCATTTAAAATTAATGTTTTACAGTTCGAAATAGTTCAAATTATAAAATATTTTTCATATAGGTTTTTTAACAACAATAAATAATTTTATTAAGGAGTATAAAAGGTACTTTAACACTTTTTCATATAATTATATTCATTTGTGATAGAAAAATTTTTTTCCAACCCCCTCGAAAATTTCAGTCAAGCTTTTTCCTTTATTACAATCCCACATGGTATTGGAAGTTTACAATATGTTATGTTTTTATATAATTAATTCTTTTTATTTAAGAATATATTTATAATATTATATATATTTATTTATTTAATTAGCTATAATTACAATTCTATGTAGCCTTAAAACCTACAGTATTATCAATTAATAATAGCACTGGAAAGATTTTAAAGCTATCAAATTAGCAACTATATTTATTTGAGATTTTAAAAAATTTGTTAGATATTTATTTGAGATTTTAGGTAAATTTTAAAATATATATTAAATATTTATTTAAAATTTATTAAAACTTTTAACAATTTAATAGTATACTAGTAGTCCCTGTCCAGCTATATTAGGAATTTTACTCTAAATTTATATTTATTAAATTATTTATCTTTTATTTTATAGAAGATCGAGTAATCTTTGGTTGATTTTTTCCCTATTCCTAAAGAAAATGGGTTGTATTTTTTTTTTTTGATAAAAATGACAAGTTCCATTATTCAATATAAATTCTATTGATCTATTAATTTAAAATTTAGAATGATAATACAATTATTTCAATTATCAATTTAAATTAAAATTTTACTAAGGTAAAATTTAAATTCTAAAAAAAGACCTAATTTAAAAAGGTTTTTGTTATATTAAATTCACATTAGATTTAAGTAGGATTTTTTAATTTTATTTATCTTGTGAATAGAGCAATAATTTTAATCTGAATTCATTTACTTTTCAGTTTTTTATTTGTAATACCCCAAAAATTTTTAGGATAAATAAGTGAGTTAGGGACTTTTTTGAGAAAGAAATATTGTTTTGGGCTTAATAGCCAACATTCCAAAACTTTAAGGACTTAAAAGAGGATAAAAATTGGATAAGGATCAGCTTCTTTCTTCTTCTTTTTTCGTTCTTTCTTTTCTTCCTCCTCAGACCCGCGCCTGCTCTTCTTTTCTTCTCTCCTGCACCCGAAAGTCCCCCAAGCTCGACAGCCCTCCCATGAAGAAAAAAACCGGTAGAAAGCTTGGATTTTCTCTTTATTTTCTTGTCCAAAAACCAGATTTGAGCTTAGAAATTCTTCCCCCCTGCTGGAAAATCCGGATCTGCTTTGCTCTGTCCGCAGGCTGCTCTTGTTGTGGGGGCAAAATTCTTCAAATTCTGGTAAGAAACAGCCATGAATCTCGCTTCTCCAGCTTTAATTGCCTTGGTTTTACTCTAATTTTGTGTTGTTCCTTCAATTTTTGGGTGGATTGCCCGTGAGCTTCTTCTCCAAATTCCCGCCGGCAACTTCCCCAACTGCAGCTCCGGTTTTAGCTGAAGAATTCTGGTATGTGGCAGCCCTCCAAGCCCCCGAATTTGTCCATTTATTTGCTTTTAATTGCTGCCCTATCGTGTGTCCGAATTGTGCTGGAAAAATGGGGGAATTCCGATAGCTTTAGGATAAAGTTTAAGCATTAATTCAAGTGAAATTTAGGTGATTGAGTGTTAATTGACTGCTGTGATTTTTGGAGAAAATCCCGTGAATTAGCTAGTGTTTTGGCCAATTTTGGAAGTGCAGTTACTGTTCAAGGTACTGTTCAAGGTACTGTTCACACACCGAGGGCCAACAATTAACGGGGATTTAAATGATTAATTTGTAATATAAGAACAAATTTGGAGATATTTGATAATGTGGAGACCGATAGAAATAGCATTAGGGGTAATCCTAATGATGATTTCAGTGTGAATTTGTGATAGTACAGTATTAATTCTCGGATATTTTGATTAGGTTCTTGATCCTTGGGGTACTTTAGTACGTGAATTGAGTGCTCGGTTTTATGCGATTTGAGGTAAGTAAATTTATGGTAATGCCCATACACTTTTTAAAAGCATGTTTTGATTTGTTTTTGAAGTGGTGGCGGTACTAAACCCGTTTTACACAAGTATGATCGATTGAAATGAAATTTTTATACTTTTCATTAAATTGAGCATGCGTACTTGAAATTTAATTGATTGTCCTGATGATTTGAAAGTGATTGGTGAATTATGATTTTTCTGTTAACTTCTGCTTGTTTTGTCTTCGATGTGGTTATGTTATTAATGATCTTGCTAGTGGGGGTTAAACGCTAGCACATGTCGACATGTTATTGATAGAACCGGTTTGTTCAACTCTGCTAGTGGAGGTTATACACCAACAAATAGTGTGCCTGCCAGTGGGAGGTTTATAATACTGGCTGTGACCTATAAAGGAGACGTCTATTTCGTTCCCATACTGTATCCGTTTTTCGTAATTGTACTTGTTGGCATGCTATAAGTTTAATTAAGGGCTATCTATATTTACTTACTGAATTTATCTCATAGTTTTTCCTTGTCCACCATTTCAGGAAGCAAAACCGAGGACAGGGAAACCACGAGAAGTGACGAGTAAGAAGGCTAGCCATTTCGAGATTGATATAGATTTTAGAATAAATTGTGATCTTGTAAACTAGAGTGTATTTGAAGATTTTATGATATCAAAGCAGATTTTAAAATTTGATCTTCAGACTTTGATGGTATCAGATTGTGATTTGATTAAGTCCCACAAATGCACGGCGTTTACCACGTCCTCGGATTTGGGTTCTGGGGCGTGACATTATTATTAATGAAAAATATATGAATAATCATCTTAATTTTTTAAAAAA